ATTTTGAATCTAGCTTAAACATACTGCGTCAGTTATCTCTGCAATGTAAATAAATTTTCTTATAACAACTTATTTAAATGGTAGGTGAGGATTATTTCTTGCTGGTTGTACGTTTTCGTACCGAATTTAGATTCTGTCGAAAAATTTAGAAAGTTAGGAACTTAATAGACGAGCAGAGTGTGCTTTCCTCTACGTTGCTTTCTACCGAGTTGACATATACTTAAGATGTACTAAAGTATTGGTGCTTCAGGTCTCCAAAAATTGTCTGTAGTGTCAATTTTGATGTCTGTCTCGCTTTTAAGTTTCAGTGAGTCATAGAACGACCGTCAGCATCGTTGAGCATCTAGCGATGATCGTTAGCGGGTGTTTACCTTTAATCGGAGGACTATTATGTGCATGTCGCGGTTGTAGTCTCCTTCTTTGCCGCTTAATACCGAGCACTTTTTCATCATTTTTATGATTCTGTTTATAATCTGCACCTGTGTGAAAGCTGTATTCCTAAACGTTCCTTTATCGTGTGAATATTCAAATTCATGCGCTCATGTCATGTCTCCTAGCCATGTTCAACCTGCGCCGTAGAGCATCAGTTTTGCAGCAGATTTTTGCTTGGCACTGAAAAATAATAAATAAAATACATTTAAATATCATAGAGTTGTTGCCTCTAAATCCGGTGTCGAAAGTTGAAAGATGATATTTGCCGGCGGCGGAATCGGGTGTGCCATTTTTGGTAGCAACCCAAGACCATGGAGTGTATTTTAAATTTTCTGTAAAATACAATGTGTAGAAGTTTGATGCGTTTCTCGTCTGCGGCACCGTGTGCTGACTATATCTGCCGACCGTCTCTGACGCTTTTTTCCCATTTTTTGCTCTCGGGTGGGTTTCAGTGGTATATATGGTACTGCTGGTAGATGGAGTACTGATTTTCCGTGAACTGTCGTCACGCATCGTGTTTTATTATATTTTTTGCATAGGTCTTGCGCAAGGGTTATCGATGATCGACCTAACCCACCATTGGAAACATCCCTTTGAAGCAGCATCTGCTTGCAAAAAGGAATATGACCTTTGCCGGAATATTGCCTAATATAAAACTTATAAATTTATGTATCATTTCTAACGTTCAGACGTAAATCTTAGTTATTCTGCTAATTAAGCTCTGTTAGCCTCAGATGGCGGTGACAAACCAATAAACCCACGCCCCAGCGTTTTTAATGTTTGATGTTTCGCGGATACTAGTGAGGTGTCCGTTTTGTCCACCGATCTTCTTTCATTCTCGTCATATGCCCGTCCCATGTTTTCGTCATTAGCGGCTTCCATGACGTCCTTTGGGCCGATTTTGAGTCTTGCTCTGCGTTTGTTACAATCTGTTGATGCCCTCCGCTTTTTCATGGCTCTGCATTGCTTACAGTTTTGTTTCTTCAGCATGCTTTGCATTTCATATTTCACATCCATAGAGCTTCTCAAGAAGGACGTGGTTAATGAAATACGCAATACGCGGCGAAAGAAGCTTGCTGATGGTTAATCTTCTCCAATAGCTGAGCTTGATTCCATGACCATTATCGATCCGATGGGTTACGTCAGATGTATTTATTCGTTTCCCAACTCTACTGGTTGGTCATTCTTCTTTCTGTCAAATTCAGGGTAATACGCATTGTCATCCGATTCGTTTTTCCCATATGAATAGAAAACTCGATTTTCATTGTACGGTCACAAATTTTGCTGAACACCATCTGAAGCGTCGTTAATTGATCTGCCACGATGACAGTGCCATTGGCGAAGAGTAGTATCTGAAGCGTCAATAAGAAAGCGCTCTTTTCCTCAGTTTTTCGTGACACCTTTCTCAGTGCACTGGTGGAAGCCTCCAGTCCTGAAAACAACAAATCTGGCATGCTGCAGAGCGCCGTATTATTTCCTCGCCTATCCATTTTCTACGCAAGTAGCCTAAAGCCCATCGCGCTATGTTTTTTCAACAGTGCACACGACCATCACTGCAGAGCTATAAATAAGATCTGCTCGCTTCTTCTTGACCAACTGTACAACCTGTCCAGCTTCGTTAACAGTTCTCCCGGTATTTGCTGTGACTTAATCCTGAAAGGTTTCAGGAGATCTGTATTTAAATAAGAATACAAAATATCTTCGGATCCTATACCTATGCGACGTTCCTTTCACAATTGATAATGCTGAAGTTGAAGACTGAACGTGCAAACGAGTCGTTCTATCACAGGCTTTGTCAAAGTTCAAACATGTGAAGCTGATACTGGTAAAATGCGGAAGAACATGTCCTATCTTATTCATCTAAAGCAAGTTCATCTAAATGCACTTTGCTTTCTTCATCAAATCATGCATTCTTTTATTTGTGCACCCCCTCCCTTTTCCTACTTCCTTTCCAGGACGCCATTAATCGCATTCTGAGTTTGACCCTCAAATTGATATCACGTAATGACTGCATTAATTTTGAAGTTCTTGCCAAGGAACTTGTACAGCGCATTCCAAAAGCTTACCTACGCTGATGAACCGGTATTTCCTGAATGAGCAACCGTTCGCTTTATCCGACTGTCGTTTTGTATTTCCCTGAAACTCCTAGTGCGAGACCAGAAACAGTGACTTTCTGTTGGACGAAACTGCGATGAAATTCAGTCACCCCTGCCTTGCCTCGCATTGTGAAGGACCTGTCGTCGTTGGCTGATGAACGGTGCAAACAGATGCTTGATTTGCCTAGCGCTTAACATGTGCATATATGTTTTGTTGTTTTTGTGGTTCTTTTTTGCTGAAAGATATGGCCGTGTTCCGTATATCCAAGCAATAAATTACAGTCATTCATTCTTTGCATAGCAGGCGTTTCTTCGTTTGACCTTTTCTGACTGCAGTCTACAATGGGCGCTCAAACGTTTTGACGCGCGTGTGTGCACTTTCATGATATCTGGTTGTGAGTAACTGAGATTGATCATAGCTGTATTGTAACGTCC